CAGACAACGGATGGCAGGCAGAATGGGCCATATTTCGCCGGATCTTGGTGGCCTCCGCCATTGTACTTGGGCAGCACTGTGTCTTCTTTCCAGTCAGTGGGTAAATGGCAGACTTCGAGGGAGTGGAGAAATATTTGGCAGAGGGGATCAGTGGTGTTTTCGACCATAGTCTTTAGGAATACAGGCTGCAACTCATCTGGGCCAGATCCAGGTCAAGAAGGAGCTTTCTCACACCCTCAGGGTTGATTTCGATTTGATAAACAGAGGAACAGTGTGCAGGCAGAGAGTTCCTGCGCAGAGGGAACTCCAATGAGTAGACAGAAGAGTACTGTGAAGTTAATAGGTTGGCTCTTTCCTCGTCATGGTGAGGCACAGCGCTTTCTTCGGAGAGTAGCGTAGGGATCGCACTACCCGTCTTGACATATTTTTTCAGGTATGAGAAGAATTTCTTGGGACAACTCAGAGATTTCTTGACCAGGTTGTGTTCGTTCTGGAGTCGCTTGTTGCGTTTTTCATGGTACAAAAGTTCCTTACAGCTCTGTGATCTGAATAGCTCGATGCTAGTTGTGTGGACTTGTGGTGATCCCACAGTTTCCGTCGTTGTTTCATTAAGAGTCTGATTTCTCTTCCAATCCAAGGGAGGCCTTTGTAGTTAAGCCTGGCTTTGTCGTTTAGAACGTGTTGTTCGATAAGCAGTACCATCTTGGATCAAAGTAGCTGCAATGCACCGTTGAGATCCAAAGACTGCGGAATATACCAACCCATGGTGTTTGCCACTGCTTTAAGTTTGGACTGATCGGCTCGCCAGAAGTTGCGACAACGTGACCCCTGGTCATAAGGTTTAAGGCGTCGTGTTCACTGGAAGGAGATGACAGAGTGGTCACTCTTGCCCGGTGGTGACGGATCGTTAGATTAGAGACGTCAGATGGGGACGCAGTGATCATCAATTCGAGAATGTGAGATATTAGGAGGGGGAGCATCCGTGTTATTGTCAGGACATGCTGTGTGAGGTTACATTCGAGGACGGTGTCTATCAGACGAACTTCAAAGGACTCCGCGGGGAGGGCACTATGAAGAAGGTCTGAGTTGAGGCCTTGGGAATTGAAATCCCCAAAAACAGGCAGTTCGTGTCCTTCGCATTGTTTCTCACAGAGTGTAGGTGATAGGATGCAGATGTTGATGGGGGTCTGTAGACTACTCCGACCATATGCGACTGGAAGCCATAGTGAATTCGAGGCCAGAGTACTTCTGACGTATCATTGTTGCCGCGGTTGGTTTTAAGAACCTTAACTATGAGGTAGAGAAGTACTCCAAGTCCAGATCTCTGACTGGAGCGATCAGATCGAAAGAGCTGATAATCTGGAAATTGAGTCTCTGAGTCAGACATCTCTGATGATATCCAGGTCTCTATGAAGGCCCTTAGATCCGGTCACTGCTCCGAACTAAATAGTTGTATCTCATCTAGCTTGTTTCTGAGACTGCGCACGTTCGCAAGTATCACACGTAGTCCAGAATTTACGCTTGGGATCCGGGGAGAAGAAGGATTGGCTTCCATCGAGCTCTCGGAGTTTTCTGCACTACGAGAAAATCCACAGGTCGGTTTCGTCATCCGCTCGACGAGTTCGGAGCTCATCAATCACGTTTATCATTTTGACTCAATCTTCTGAGGAGAGGTCTTTCAAAGCCCAAAAGGTTTCGCCTTTGAGGCGTGAAGCCCCTCTCAGAATGATCCGGCTGTCTTCCTCGTCCTGACAAACGATTTTCAGTGGGCGTTTTTTAGATGGGTCAGCTGTATTTTTACCAAGGAGAAAACCAGAGATGTTGTTAGTCCCCTGCTCGCCCTCCTCGAACAGTTTTGATGTCATGCAATTAAGGAATGCTTGATCATCGAGTATCCTCTCAGCAGCGGTGTCTTAGTTATATTCAGGAACGTCAGTGGTGATCAGGCAGCGGTCGCGGGGTGAAGTGCTGTTTCTACTCGGAGACGATGCACTTTGCTAGTGGTTGTTTCTTGAGCTGTTGTTCCATTTACTTTACTCTGTCAAGTACAAATTTCACATCCGAATTTGCGATTTTAGGCTTCACCTTTGGCTTTGAGGCGAGCTTCCGTGGGGGCTTGTTTGCAGCTGGGCTCAGGCTGTATGTTTTTGAAGCGGTGTCTCTCGTCACCGCAGCATAAGTCTTGAGCTTGTTTTCCGGCCTATACTTCATCTCACTGGAAGGTAGCGATTCTGCCGACTTAGCGAAGGGAGTGCGGCATCACTTTGGTTTGGGTGTGGTAGTTTTCGATGCAGGTAGGGATACCGATACTGTGTGTCGCTTATCTTCTATCTTAGACACGACCAGCGCGGCAGCACTACATATAATGAGAAGATGAGGGTTAGCCAGAAGACGTTTATCATTTACCAATGCTTGACACGAGTCACAATAAGAGCTTATGACCTGAGAGGCTGTGCATTGTAGGCATTCGTATAAGCGTCATCGATGTTACAGCAGGTTGTGTGCAGCCATCCTTCTCACAGGGCGCACTGAACAACATTTGAGCGGAAAGTGACGCTTTTGCCACAATCTACGCACTTGGATGCCATAGCACTTTGCTGTTTTGAGATAGAAACCTCGAAAAATCAGGAGCCAAGAATTTGACGCATTGTATTCATAGAGTGGTGATCGAAAACAAAGAGGAAAGATTAAAACCGTGATATGACAGGCGCTCAGTGGTTTTTAGCAAAAACCGGCGATGCTGTATGACCAGGGCGTTCATACTGATATCTAAGGGCAATCCCAGTAGGAATCCTGTCGACAGCACGGAAAGCTTCGATTCTAACTTGCTGTCAAACATAAAGAAGTTGTTGACCCCTGAGACAATCTTTTTCTGTGTGCATGCTTTTTATGCTGGTCATGTTAGACTTTCCAACTGCAAAATACCAGTGATGTCAACAACTGTCCTTAAAGGACGCAAGCTCTATGTGTCTCAACTGAGGCTGCGACACCAAAGCAAAATAGTCAAGTTCAACTGCCCGCTGGGTACCGAGTTTCCCGCACACCCATGGCTAGCACCTTGAGGCTTCAACAGCTTTGCAGCACGAAAGCTTACCTGTACAGCAATCAGCTGTAGGCACTTTGCTTAGAGCGAAACAATGAACTCTCAGAGGTCAGACAGAATTTTCCGAACTAAAAATACAGAAGCTCATGGACATAAACAAAAGGGGAACAGCAGACTAGGTATGTGACGCAATCGCCACTTAAGTGGAAAGAGACAAGAATGAGTTACCTTATGGAAACTACTTTCATTCGACAGAGTGGAATATTTACAAACGGTTATTTACATAGTACCTCTTATTTTGTGAAATATAAAGGGAGAACATCGATTTTTCTTCATTTTGCTGTTTACGACCATGGATACGGATCTGCATCATATGTTGTAGTTCCGACTGTGCTAGAATGGTTAACAAAATTCACCACGTTGTGCGAGCAAAAGATAAGGAAGTGAAGCAGACAAAAGCTGTTAAATTGCAATCCATTTTATTCCCATCTCAGTTACACAAACGTAACCATTGTCAGCTAACATCGCAGTGCCAAAATTTCCGCCATATGCTGTTAAATAGTTAAGATAATAGTCTGACCTTTGCTCACGGCTAACGTGGTATTACTGTGATCTTGTTCTAACACGTTCGTTTGGTCACATTATTGTATTCACATCAATTCAACCCTACAACACGCACAGTAACATGCAACGTAGTCAACCGGAACCCAGTGCCACAATGGACTACTTGGCCGAGTTAGACTAATGAACAGAGACGACTAAATGCATGCCGTCTGGTTGCTGGCTTTCTTATGTGTTGAATGAATTAGTTACAGAAGTACAAACGGACAATATGCAAATGCCCAAACTGTTCAGTCGTCCGAATGCAAACGGCTTAACGCTGGTATTGAATGTGTGTCGTTCTGTTTCTGCACAAAAGTATTATTTTTGCTTTATATTCCGGACAAGTTAGACGCTCAACATTGGATGATCATCGACTAAATAAGATGGCTAAATGAACTGTGCTGTACGATAACAGTAAAACAACTGCCCTCCGCGCAGTGAGGAGTCCGATGGATAGGCTCAATTGAAACTGATAACTAAGGATGCATAGAAAAAAGGTAAGAGTTAAAAATGAAACCACCTAGTGGCGAATATAATGGTGGTAAAATAATGCCAAATATATGCTTGTATATCACTCAGTTTTTGCAGATGTAAATCTGCTTGTCTAACTTCATAGAAACCAAACAGAATTAAAATACCCAACTGAAGTGATTTCTGACAGTCTCTTTCGTATGCAAGTTCCGCCAGAAACACGAAACCAAGAAAACTGAGGTCTATCAAATCTATAAGTTCAGGTCACACTTTCCGATACAATTCAAAAAGCTGAGTTCCCCAAAACTTCGGGATCAGTCGTGTATAGGCTGATATTTACGCGCACCTGATGCCTATAAATGGCGGGATGTAGGATAAGAATGGCGCCGGTAAAAGCGAGACCATGCAGTGATAACCCTTGAAGATGACAGTGAAATAAGGGTGCAACGTCTTCATTCGGCTATTAGTGGCCATGTAAAGTTAAAGTAATTTATTCTGTACTCTATTAACCTGAGGCCAGTCCCTCGTTACCAGCACCAGCCAGAATTATACTGTGTAACCAAAGTAACTATTTGTGGCTCTAATAGCATCGAAACTCTACCGAAAGTAAGCAAACAACGCACAGTCACACACACAATCAGTGGTTATTCTGTCCTGGGTGCCGAAGTGAAACGGAGACGATGTGTACAAGTTGTGCGGATCGTCGCAGCCTCCGGTTGTGCAGTACAACTTTGCAGTAAACATGCACCCAGTTAAAACAAAGCACATCTTTGGATCCGGGCGACGCAACTTAAAAAGCGATAAATCACATCGGATTTAACTTGCATTGATGCATACACGCGGAAACACCTGCACAACAGGCCGGTCATGACGCTAAACTTACTGTTTCCCCAGATTGACTTTTTCAGCGTATCCAAACCATGCGCCCACAATGACAGCTGGTATCAGGTATCCGATCCATACGAGTGGTATGCAGTGGTGCTGTTTTGAGATAAGATCGTGGTAGCGCCAATGCGGAGCGACACTGGTGGGGACGAAATGAAAAGCGACAAAAAAACAGGATAGTCATTGGGGCGCCCATATTCAACGGGGCTGGGACAGAATAGTAAGAAATAGTTGTTTTGTTTGTTCACGGTGCAGCTGTTGTTGCTTCAAGAATGTTTGCTGACGTCTTGCTTAAAATGTTCCAGTACGACTGCCGTCAAATGGGAAAATACCGAAAAGCTATCACCCAATACATGCACACATGCTGCAACATTCCGGAGCCGGAAAATTGAGGACTTTTTTCTCTGTGGTATGATCGTATGTAAACGGAACATCTCCAGGTGAGTGAACTCATAGAAGCCAAATTTACCCAAACCCAATTTATCACAAATTTCTACGACACAGACTCACATGAGAATGAGCGTATTCAGTCCGAATATGAATTTCCACGAGAAGGCAGCCAATGGGAAGAAGCACACAGCGATTGCTACCATGGTACAAGGAACAGGCTGCTGATCAGTTACATGTGGGATCGCAAGCGATACAATGGCACTGAGCATAAGACAGAATGCGATATTGAACTGGTCCAAACGGAAAACGCCGCTGTGGAAAGAAGAACGTGACACTGTGTAGACATGGAATCCGTTTTGCTTGTCAAACAAGTCTGAATTTATAACCGAACAGGAACATTTCGGTGAACTGCTAGTTGACGTGCAAGTTAGCCAGAAAAAATGGAAAGTACATTTATGAACATGTTTTGAATGAAAAATACCGTTCTTTCTTAGTGTACAGTAATGTAGTTGAAGGTAAGTGTTCCTGTGTGGTCCTTAATTTATACCCTTTACGTCTATGATATCTCCCTAAGTACACTAAAAGTGCATAGATACTCGATTGTGCTCGCATGCCATTTTTAATTTCTCTATCCTACAAAATTCACCAAGTCCTACGAGTTCATTGGATCCTCAGGCCAGACGTTGTGATGAACGTGGGAATAATATTGGATTTATGAAATTACGCACACTACGTAGATGGAGAATGTCATCGCAAATTCGTGCTTCAGTGTGATTCTTCTTTCTGTGCATGTCTTAACTCACACCTTATCGGTGTACCAACAAATAGGGTTGATTAACGAAGTAGCTTAAGCTGATAGATGAGGTCCAGGGTTCCAATAGTTGACACTGTGCTTAGTGGTGTATGTAGTTTCGATGCCTCTGTCCTTTGACAAATGTAAGCGGCTGATTACATGTCATATCTAACGTCTTCTCTGCAGCATCTTCCCACATAAATATCTTAAATATCTAGGTGAACTCAAGAAGAAAGGGTGCAACAATACAAATCGCGTTTCAGTAAAAGCTCTACTTAGTTTTTAACAAGGAAGGGTTGCACGGATTTAAACATGTATACCTCCATACCATAATCGGAAATAATCGTTGTCGAGAAGTCTAGTGAATGTTGAGAAAACTAAGTAATATCTTGCTTCAAATACAGAATGCAGACATCGACGTATGTGAATCAAACTGCTAATACTGTCGTTAATACATCAAGCTTATCCTCTATCAGTCAAATGCGGGAATATACTGGATTATAAAAATAGCACATCCCATAGACAGGGAAACGGTGCATAAGAATCTGATGCGTCCGCATACACGTAAAGCAACTTGTTTGAATGCACTGCCTCGGGTCTGTCCCAAGACGTGAATGGATTCTTATGCCTTGCATCTTGCTGTTAAACCGGATGCGCCTGAGAGGTCGACGCATCGCACCAGTGCAAAAAGCGATATAATTAAATACCGGCCGACTGCCTGTTGTTCACTTATTTTGAAGGTATTTGAGAAAATCACTCTTGAATGTGTGCTGGCCCAAAAATATTCTGATGGGACTCTTCAATTCGCTTGCCCTACCTAGAGGTCCATATGAGACGACATGTATTTTCATTGCTAAACGATTGAATCACACCAGTGTTAATCGATTTCACCGATTAAAACTATTCATTTGGACGTGCAATACGCAAGCCTCTTTTGAAAAAGTACACGCTATGCTGAAATTCAATCTCCTGCCTTCCACCTGCTGGAGTAGTGATTTATCTCTCCTTTTCAGTTTACCGGAATTCGTAGTACTAACTCTTCGCTGCTCATCACAAACCCCCTGCCACCATTCCTCTTTTCCACCTACGACAAGCTAAAGAAATGCCCCTGAGGAATTAATCTCACTGAACTACATCGAGGACTTAGTTTTTGGTTCTATAGTATATTCCAAAATGCGTGTTCTGTTATTTGCTCCATTCAAATTCAAATTTTACATTCGCAGAACGTCATTATCAACAAGTTCTCATGTAACGCCTAGAAATGAACGCAGAAATTGTGAGGCTGCTTTCCTGCACGTCAGGGAAATATCTAGGCGACAATCATCTACAATCAGTCTTGGTTAGTTTATGTGAAAAAGGTAACCAAAAATTCACGTAGCTTCCTTTCGACATGCCTGTTTGCAATCTGTCAGTATTCCCCGCAACATAACACAAGCATCTGCCATCAGCTGTGTGTTGCTGCAATGGACTCATTGCTTACCAGTGATATTTTCTGATCAATAAGGTAAGGACATAAGGTAAATTATTCCGATTCAGCGACATTTCGGGTCAGAATTTTTGGTATCCGTCTGTATACTCCTTGCTATTCTCGCAATTAGTTGCATCGAAAATTTACGCATGATAGTTACGCTCCTCAAAGCATACGATTTGGTTACAAATCAGATTCTTCGAGGAGACAAAAGCACGAATTTATGTATGCCCACCCACGTGCTTGCTAATCATCTCTCTTCCCATATCGGCCTCGTCTTTCACCAGAGCAAATCCAGTCGCTTAAAAGATTACCACTCCAATCAAATTACTCCCCGTGGCAGTTAGTAAACCACATTTAATACTCGCTTATAGTAAGCTGTACTTTGTACCGTGCTGAAGCTTTGCGCCTCACGGTCAAGTATTCAGCCTTAATATTTGGTCGCGTTCATTCTAGATATGAGCCTATTTAACCTGAATTTTAGCATCAAACACTGTATAAGACTTTATGATCATAATGGACCTTTACAGACGACTGCCCTGGTTTTTATGATCGTGTTAACAATAAACTAAACGTCTTCCACCAACCAGCTATAGTTGCCAAAGCATAACTCCCTGACTAGCTTATTCCAATCTCCTTACTTAGCCAGACTATTTCTATAAACTCGCTTCAGAATAACACTTAACCAGTTAAAAGATTTAGGAATATCCCAAATAACACGGGCAGTAATGAAAGTTGTTCATCGATAGCACTGATAGACCGGTAATAAAATCGCAAACCAGATATAGGCAAATATCCGGAGCACGACCTCCTGTGAACGAGAATAAATTGTGTAAGACCTAACGAAGCAACCGGACCAGAGTGTTATCACGGCGTCACGGTAATATTTCATATGCAGCTGGAGAGCTAATATGAGAGCCCTTACATACACGCCACCATATCCACTTCAAGAAGCTGATTAAGCATTTGCATCCAACTACCCTTATCTACTGTTGCCGACAAGGATTGGGACACCAAACGAAAGAGGCGCTACCGCCTGAGTTTTAGATTACACCACGAATATTCGTGCCACAATGAATTCGCCTACAGCTTCTCAAAGGCTGGAAGAAGAGCATTCAGGGGGTTCCATTTCCGACACTGCGATGAAATTCGCGCTAAACTCAAATTGTCTACAGGTGTATGGAACTAGATGCAAACAATTTGAAAAAAGGTGGTGGAGTTTCAGCACTGAATAATGTGCCACTTGAAAAAATGCTCATTAGGGAAGTACTAGTGTCTTCAGAAAAACATTCAAGTGAACGTAAGTTCGTTGCTACCTCTGTACAGTACATTAAACTGCAGATAATTTGACCCCATTAAAGGGATGCTTGTATTAAACTGGAGACAGATATTTAGGTCAAAAACAACACACGTACAAAATACGATTATACAGTGAGTACCAACCGCAGTGAAGATTCTTATGTACAACACATCTTTCGTACAGTGTTTATAGCGAGTGCTCCCATAGTAATTTCGTTGTGCGTTGTGCGCGCGTTTCGAACCCCTCAAGTATCGGGAAGCAGGACAATTGAAGCCACAATGGTTCGACATAGAGTGTGGTCGATTAGCCGTTGCAGAGATTGAATTTTAACGTGACGCGACGGTTTGCTACCTCCCTGACCCATTGAGCTATATTGGTTGGTGCCTCCGAGCACACTGAGAGCTACTCATACCAGGTCAGTCAACGGTGAGAGGTCAGACAAACTCAGTCTCCTGGTCCTCCAGGCTGGGATTTGGAAATGGGATGGCGTCCATCACTGTAAAAGTAAACCCTTGTCTTTTGCCTTGTGGACAGGCTTTTGAGCCAAAGGCTTTGGTTGACGAACCTAATCATCCTCATGTCTAGGTCTGGGCGCCCTGGCAGTATCCCAACCCATATACAACCATGACTTATACATGAACATAAACTTCATCTGGCATCGGCCGTCGCTCAGATTGTTAACGGTCGACTTATCTGCTGCATACAGCAGGGCGGATAAGCAAAAGCATGCTACTGCTGGCGTCGCCCTTCCTTCTTTTCCACCTGTTTCTCTTACTCCCATCCCGACCCCAATTACTAACCTTCCTTTTATTATTCCCAGCCTAATTGACAGCAACCGAAGTGCCACTGGAGTACAACCACCTGCGGTCACCTTCTCGCGACACGTACCGGACACCTATCAGCAACAGTCACTTATAATGCCAAATTGTCAAGTTTCCATGGCGACGTACAACGTTCGCACTCTAAGAAAATAGGTCAACACGCTGCACTCGCACGCACCTTGGACACACTGGGTGTTGATGTGTGTTGTGTGTCCGAAACTAGGATCAATGACCCTAATGTGGTTCTTGAATTAACTACACCCGGCTTATCCCATTGTTATTGGTTGCACGCATCCGAAGACGCCGCTGCAGCACTCACAGGTCAAGCTGGTGTCGGTATCGTTCTAAGCTCCGAGACTGAGCCATCGTTCGTTGAATGCATTCCGATGAACAGCCGTTTAGGTGCAGCCCATTTGACGACATCAGCTAAGGTTGATGCACGAAGTAGTACAAAACGTTGTTTGTCTGTGATTTCCGCTTATGCTCCCACCGATTGCAGTTCGAGTGCTCTCAAGGACACGTTCTATTACGAACTGAACGCGCTAATATGCAGTGCTACTATTTCCGATATTATAGTACTTGCAGCGGTTATGAACGCACACGTAAGGCGTGTTATCTCTTCAGAAGCTCCGCTGGGTGGTAATTATGGGCTTAACTCCGAACGGACTGACAACGGAGAACTGTGTGCGGAGCACCAGTTGATTCTCAGTAGTAATGCTTTTAGACACAGGGGGCGCCTAAGTGCCACTTGTCCTCCTACTGTAGTTGGCCAGCGATGGACCCCAATTGATCACATAGCCATAAGGTACAGGTGGCGTGGTTCCATCCAGGATTGCCACTCGCTTTGGAATATTACGTGGAATCTGATCGTGCCTTGGTACGCTGTCGTCTCTCCATAAACTTTCCCGGTAGGCGCACCAAGTGTCTCCCTTATTGGCAAAGGAGAAATTGTCCCAACCCTCGGTCCGACAAGCCTACCAAGATGCACTACGTACCGAACTTTTGCTGTATTGTCCGAATGAGCCTGAGCTTCAGTGGAATAGGATCGCGGCCGCAATGCACGACGCAGAAGCATCTGCTTGTGACACTAGCGATCGTCACCGCACCAGTCACTGGATTTTCGAGAGGTCGGTGAACATGTTGGAATCCAGAAGAAACCTCCCGGATGGCTTTGAGAACGATGCGACCAGACGGGCTATTACGCGCGAACTAAAGCGGAGCTTACGTGTTGACAAGGAAGTTTGGTGCACCAGTAGTGCTCAATAAATGGAGGTAGGTGCATTAGACAATTACCGCAAGCTCTCCTAGCTAATCCGCATCACCGGTCCCAAGAAACCAGGTGTCAGTGAGATAACCAGAGATAACACCGGTGCACTGATACAAAATAAGGAACGCCGTATGGCTCGTTGGATGGAAGAATCCAAGATCAGTTCACCTGGCCCCGTGCTCCCGGACCTCTTCCTACTCAGGTGATGTAGGACTAGCCATGAACGGTTAGTTGAGAGCCTCCGTCGGAGGCCGAGATCCGAAACGCGATCTTAGCCCCTAATCGTTTTCGTGTTGCTAGTCCGGATTCTCTCCCACCTGCACTATTCAAGGATGGAGGTGAGGTCCACTGAAAAGCACCTACCTCCATACTCGAACATTTCAGGAAGGTAGAGAGTGTCCCGGCTGATTGAAGCCATCCGATTATAGTGGCAATATGCAAGAAGGGCAGTCGGTTCTCGTTCGTCGTCTCAGTGTGGAAGGGGAATCTCGGATTACGGAAGAACAGGCCAGTTTCTGCCCAGGGCGTTACTGTACAGACTATATATTCACTTTGCAGCAGCTGCTAGAGCAGCCCCACGCATACCGCAGACAGACAATAGCTGTATTCCACAACTTCAAGAGTGTGTTCGATTCAGTCGATCGATCCATTCCGTTCGAAATAGTTGCACGGAAAATTGCACACATGAAGTACGTGAACATCCTACGTGCTATATACTCGAACACTACAGGTCGCGTCAGGGTCTACGGTGATCTGTCGGATAGCTTTCCGACCACAAGTGGCGTTCGTCAGAGTTGTCCTATTTATCAATTTTTATTCAATTTCGTCGTGGACTCTACATGGAGTGTACCCTTGCAGAATCTCACGATGTAGGCGTCGACGTCCTGCCTGGTGAAAGGCTAGTTGATCTTAATTATGTGGACAATATCGTCTTGTTTTGTGACGATGTTGCGGTGGCACAATCAACCCTGAATAGCCTGTCTTGAGTGGTCCCATTATTTTGTATATGCTTCGCACGTTCAAAGTGCAAAATGTTGCTGCACGATCACCAGCCACTTTATAACCCCTTGACCCTCGTTAAGGAGGGAATCGAGGTGGTTGTACAACTCGCTTAACTTGGCAGCCGCATCAGCAACCATGCGTGCATAGGAATTGTAGTTAGCTTACGCAATGCAAAGACCAGAACTGCCTTCTTGAACTTGCGGCATCTTCGGCGACAGAAGGCGGTTTCTCTCCTTCTGAAATGCCGTACCTACAAGGGCACAGTGAGCTCCGTCCTGCTCTATGAGAGTGAAACTTGGCCCCTTCCCTCTGAAGATCTGAGGCGACTTCAATCTTTGATCATCGTTGTCTCCGAAGAATTGCTGGTGTCGTATCGCACCAGCGTGTCTGTAATGATGATGTGCCTAGGCGATTATTAGATTTTGATAATCAGGCTAGCTCCTTTGAACAGCAGATAGTACTGAATAAGTTGCGTTGGCTTGGGCATGTGCTACTTATGCCTGGTCACCGCTTACCTAGGAGGCCCTCGATTAGTCTGCCAGAAGTAGGATGGCAGAAAACGCGTGGTGGATAGAAGTTGACTCGGCAGCGTGAAATGAAGTCACCGATGACCAAACTGGGTGCCGTTGGTCCTTGTCGCCTCCCGGGTTGGAGTCCACGTGACTCGCCTTGGGCTTGGCTCGAGACTTTACAGGACATGGCTCGCAGTAGACACCAGTGATGCGTCTGCTATCGTCTCCTAGTCGGATTGTCTGTTTAAAGTGTGTTTGGTGCTGAGTTATCTGCGGGGTAACGGCTGATTATGACGCGTGGCTTTGAAAGCCGCAAGGAATTTGTCTCGCTGATGCTGTTTTATCGTTGCACGATAGCCAGCTGTTTATGACGGTATGTTGTTTACACAAGGTGTAGGCGCCTTGACCCTGAATGTTCGCTTAGGGCATTAAGGTTTTCAGGTATGTCATTGTTCCCTCCCACTTATTATTCTTTATTTCATAAGTCATCGTGGTTATATGGCAGGGAAACGTCAGTTTGAATGACTAATTTACTGCTGTTGTTGATTGACTGATTTTGATGGTCGATTAGCTCGACGGCGACACTTATGGTGGAATACATTCTTCGTGTCTGGCTCTGCCGACAGTCATAAGGCGTATAAAAGGCGGCGGATTCTATACAACAGTGCAAAAGAGCGAAGACATAGGCAATTCGAAGAGAACCTTGCATCTGACGCCTGCAAGTGACGCAGCTGTGTTAGAGGGCAATGAAGGATAGCCTCTGACCTCCAGCAATAAACGTGCTTCTGCATTGTCGGAGCACTTCGTCTTCGTATTTACAAGTGGGTATGCCCCTATGCCGAGCTCGACGTGTGCAGCTCCTGCTGAACTCGATGGCTTGGATTGCAGTGTAGAAGATGTCCATAGTCTACTCACCAGTCTTGACGGCACTAAACCTGCCGGATCCGATGGACTTCACCCACTAATTTTAATTTCCTTATCGGCCATAATCTCGTCTGCCATGACGCATCTGTTCAACAGATAGCTGTCTGAGGGTGCATTGCTGAACGACTAGAAATCCTCGGTAGTGAAGTCGATTCCAAAAGGTGGTGATCCACGCAATGTGGACAATTACCGGCCGGTTTGTCTGATCTCTGTTTTGGTGAATATGCTAGAAAACACTGCGATAAAGGGTCTTTTCTAGCTGCTGGAGTCGAATGATCTCATAACGCCAGCACAACACGGCTTCATGAAGGTTCGCTCGTGCATCATCAACATGCTGTTGACGCGGCACGAATGGTTACAAGCGTTGAATCGGGGGAAGTCAGTGGGCGTTATCTACAGTTATTTCAGTAAAACATTCGATAAAGTGAACCGTGAAGTCCTGCTCGACAAACTGAGGATGTGTGGAGTTGGTAATGCACTGCACCAGTGGATCAGTGACTTCCTTATTGGGAGAAGATAGCGGGTGCAGGTGGATGACCAATTGAAGGAACCGGCACCCTTCTAATAGCGGTGTACCCCAACGCATAGTGCTGGACCCAGCTTATTCCTGATCCACATAAACGAAGTGCTTCAGCCTCTTCGGTCGCCTTGTGCACAATTTGCAGACGACTTGAAGATTTCGGGGGTTACTGATTCTCCCGGCGACTGTGGCGTCCTTCAACAGGCCCTCTACCGCCTATCCCGTTGGTCTGCAGAAGATAACCTATCGGTCAACCCGGCCAAGTCCTCGTTTATGCACCTGAGGAGGGGTAGTAATGGGCGTGCGTACACCCTGACCAGTTACTCGCTGCATGCAACCAGTTCCGTAAAGGATATAGGCGTACTCTCAAGCTGTGGTGTGAAGTCTGTCGAGAACACAAACAGGCTGTACGCAAACGGACTATGCTTGTTTTGAAAACTGAGACGCTACTGCACTTGGTTTGAAGAGTTTGTCATTTGTATATTCTCTTTCCTGATAAGAACGGTGCTTGAGTACGGCTCACTCGCCTACTGTGAGATCACAATAGTTGAGGTGAAGATACTGGGACGGGTTCATCATGTAGCTCCCGGGCTCATCCCTAGTTTACGGGAGGTCCTACGAGGACCGATGTAGGTGACTAGGGCTTTATACCCTATCAAGTCGTCGGCTCCGCGTTGATCTCATTATGACGCACCAGATACTGCAACTGGGCTACTTCCCTATGTTGAAGCCGCTGCTGCACGTTCGCTCACCAAGCGGCACTTGCGGACACCGGTACAAACTAGTGGTACAAGATTTAAAACCCAGAGCTTACTCTCTATGCTTCGAGAGTCGAGTGGTTATATAGTGGAACAAGTTGCCGAAGGCACTAGTCGATGCGAAATCGGTGTCGCAATTTAAGAGTGATCTTGAAGCCCGTTCTGTGAACTACAGGTATAGAGAGCGCATCGTACCCCAATAAGATACAGTGCAGCTGCAATATGCTGACACGGCGCAGGAATCAGCGACGTGATTCTGCGCAAGTGCCCGATCCACTTGCGATGGTGCAACACAGCTTTTTATCTTCTTGCTTTCTACTCTCACTATTCAGTATTCATGCGAGGGCGCGTGTACAATACACTGAGCGCTCGGTGCTTTTAATTACACACTTCACTCAGCCATCTCACAACAATCCACAGAAGTAGGCGACCGCCGGTACCTTACTTATGTAACTCAATCACATCCATGGTTTCTGAATCATAGGTAAGATGTATATCAATCCAGTTTACAGCGAACCGATCAGCTGCACATATATGCTGCACTCCATAAGACGATATTTCATGCATGTGTGAACTACCCAGAAAGGAATTAGTGTCAAATTGTTATATTTGAGATGAGAATAATTAGTATATGAATCGCTTTTCAAGTGAGCGCTGTAACCATGTTGTAAGACTACGATGTGGTTCTGACCATGAATAACCTGAACTACAACTTATTTTTATGGATGGGCGTAAGCTTACAAAATTAGCGGCAATTAACGTACTTTTCCTATTCGGAAAACATTCTCAAGTTGAGGTTACCAGGGAAGGCACAGCATGTGAGAAGGGGACACAGCGAGAAGAAGCAAGTTGAAAACTTACATGAACCTTGTGAATATAAGGAACAGAAACAATGCCACGATGGTGATGATTGTAAACAAGTAGTTGACCAGGTTGATCATAAACAGATTTTCAGTAGGAATCTGTAAAATAAACAAACAAGACGGAATGTTGTAAAGTGGTGAGAACGCTGTTAATTTGATTTATCTCTGAATGCTCGTAGGGCCAAGCTTCAGCAGAGCCTCACTCATTCTATTCTGAACATGGAAAACCACTAAAGATCTACAGCTTTCGTTTTCCCATAACAAAGTATAAGTGGTTTTCTATAGTGCACCAGTGAGCCAGCTAAACAAGCAAGAGATTTGCTGTTTGCAGTCCCGAAGGGTTACGTCGATTTTAAACTTCCAGAGCAGGCTAAATAATCAAAAGTTTCGGACGTAAACTGATCTTATCTCTGAGTTGTAGACGATCTGCTTTTTGTATTTGGCCTAACATAGGGTGCAGAACTAGGGTTTTCACCAGTCTGATTGATTGACTTGAAGATAAGTGCAAAAAGTACTTACCACAGATCCGCCTATCCAGTAAACCAACGCAATTGCAAAAGTCCCTCTCTGTCGTGGAGTGCATCGACACTCGTATTGTAAACCGACCACAATTGTTTGGCAATCATCAGCACTCCAATCACTACTGAAAGTGTCTCTGTACAGAAAAGAGATAAAAACAGGCGCAGTGATATAAAAACCTCGAACTACAAGCTTGGCACTTTCGTAGAAGCAAAGAGGCTTGCAAGTTTGCATGAGTTATAATGGATTATATTCTAATATATACAATGTGTCTTCTGAACGAATAGTTGAGTTCGCTCACAAAGTATTACGTGCACATAGGCATGGAATTCACACACACACACACACACACAGCACTCGTGAGGTTAAGAACACATATTGGTACAGCCAGCTTGCTGACCGCAGGCTCCGCTGAGGCAAAAGTTGGTACAAGTGAAGAGGGACGTCTGCTAGAAGCTGGTCAAATATCTGTCCAAGGGTAAGCTAGAACAGCTAAAACTTTCATTAGAATACGAATTGGTTTGGTAATTTTTCAACGGAGTTTATTCGCAACCATACACAGATTGCCATAAATATCCGGGAAGTCGCTGGAAGGCACCTACATCATTTTATGGCATATCGCTAGATATTCTCCATAAAAATTTTTATTGACTTCAACTCCAGGATTCCAGTATTACATAACAGTGAACTAAGCCCCTAGGTGTCTGTCAGAAGTACCAACATTCGGCAATAAATCATTTGCTATGGTGCTCGCTGGTAAGGGATTCTGACACGGGTGAAGCAGCTGTCCAATTGGCATTAGGGTGTACTTGTCTGACCTAAACTTACTGAACGGATCCCTGTTATGATACCTAATTATGGGGCGTTAAGTCAGTCATTTATGACTAGACACAACCAATGTGAAATAAAACCCCCGAAGAAAGCAGCAACTTAACTTGTCGTCTCTTCGTGGCTCCAGTATGACAAAAGTTTAGCTAGGTATGTATCTGAATAAGTGTGGGTGTAATCGATCGTGGCTCAACGGGCCGGGCAGAAACAAAAGGAGTCATGTGTTACAGTTTTGGAAGTCCACAACGGCGATGGTGTGTTCACATTACTTACAACCCCTGTAATGGAAGCTGCGGACAAAACGAACGGGTATCGAATTTCCGACGACCAAGTAATTCACATGACTGTAATCGCTTACAGGTGTACGTAATCCAAGTAATAAAAGTTTCTTTGTTTCCGCTATTTCATTTTTTTATTCACATAGATAATCATTATAGATTCTGCTTTTCCTCTTTCCTGAGGTTATTGTTGCTCATTTTATTCCATGGACCTACTATGAATGCGGCCCATTTGTAATAAATATAATCGTTTGAGTATATCTTGGTTCAGAGGAAACTGAAACTTCATACTGAATCCAGAGGAAACTTTCAACCAGCATAAACCTCGATATGTTCAGTTCCAATAACAATAATCGGTAGGCAATTGTATACTTAATTATGGGTGTGGTCAAATAAGTGTGAGGTGAATAATGAACGACAGAAGTTCTAACCCTATGTTTATGACAGCCACAAGTTGAAAATACGAAATGCATGCATCTAACAACTTTCGTCGTCTTACTGCGCCTATCAAACTTCTGAAGAGACTAACTGCTTTAGTTAGCTGATTAAAAGTTTGCGCAACGAACGCTGCAGTCGAGAACAGTTAGAAAGTGGTATGACATCTACCGATCCATCTTATGATCTAAGATGTTCTGTTGCCAGTAAAGCCGGACATATAGCACACAATGGCACAGATTACAACCACGGTACAATACAGCCTTCCTTCCCTCCTCTGAGAAGTCTGCCTCAGCTTCCAGTAGTTTCAGAAGCACAACGCCGACGGAAGCAAATTATCTATCAGTGTTGTGATCTGCTGGCTCCAAAGATACAGCCAATGAACACCGGAGGGCTTAGCAGCCCCAGAGAACTCAACGACGGAAGAGACCGCGAAACGAAAAAAGTGAGAGCAAGAAGAAGATCAACATCGAACCAGGTTAATCAGCCCTCGAGGTCCTCTTCATCCCAGGTGACCAGCTTCGACTTAGAAAAATTGGTCAAGAAAGTTGGTATTTCACGAAGATGAGTTACCAAGCACGCTTTAATCAAAACGTGGAGTTACAAAAGAGTCCGGCTGCTAAGCTCCTCGAAGTAAGTGAGCGAAAGTGCGAAAAATCTAATGCTTTGGCAAGAAGAGTACTGAGAAAGACCGGCCTATACAAGTGGTTTTGCAGACTAGACCAGCCCGAAACTAATGCTGTAGTTGCGGAATAGTTGAGGCCAGACGGTGCATACTCGTCCAGATGTGGATCAAGCCGACATAAAATATCGACCTAAACCGATGAACCAGTGAGGGAGAAACATACTTACATAATGTAACTTTTCGGAAGATTACCTCATGAATCCGAGTTAATAAATAATAATCAATGCGTCAGCCGTACGCCGTAACGGCGCTTCGCTGCCCTGCGTTCACCACCAGTCGCATGCGGGTTGAGTATACCGCGAGGATGCCCACTCCTACGCGGATTCGAACCCGCGCCACAAGATTACGAGACAAACTCGTTACCTCTAGGCTACGGGCCGACATGAACCCGAGTTTACATAAGCCGCCCCTTGCTCTTCAGGAACGCCCAGTAGTTCCTTACGAAGCATGCACATGGCTCTTACCAACAGCTGTGGATTCATGAACAGACATGAGCCCGGGCACTTCCTTGGCTTGGGATGGTCGCATGTAGTAGGACTAAAAGAGACCTGCTTGAATTCCTACCGCCCTGTAGAGGATCTGTGCTCATGTGAAGCGGATCCTGATGGATCCTGGTAACCTCCAGAACATAACCTACAACACTGGGCGTGTCTCCGCAATGACAACGTACATCGTCTCTGTATTCACAAATGACCAGTTGCATGAACGAATTTCGACGTGTTACACCTCTGTCGAGTACTACAGTCTGGATTGCGGTATTGTAGAGATGCAGCTAATCCTCCCAAACCTAGACTGTACCAAGTCAGGATGATTTTTGCTCGCTAACGGCCTACAAAAAGCGATAGCATATGTGGGAATTTCTTACGCAACGCGTCTCCGGTGTTAATTCAACATAAATCAGGGAATCTGCAAAACAAATTACCCGAAACTCGGTGTGCACCTCAACAATGTTGCAGTGCTCGCAATTCCGTAACAAGAACTTTCAGTTCGGTCCAAAAATAGTCGCGTGTACAACTAACGTCGCCTCAGTACACTAGTTTTATGTGTGACAACTGAAGCACAGGAAGCACCCACTAATCCGTAGGGTGTGGATGTATGGCTTGAATGCACGACCTAGACTCAGACCAAAGTTTGAGCAAGTTCACCAGGAGTATGACTTTCGATGCCAGATGTAACAACCATGAGCTAAACCCACATCACTGTCCAAAGAATATAAGGGATCACCGAGAATATGACTAGTGATGCCCAGTATAACATCAATGTTACGTGTAATCGGATGGATAATTGAAATAGTAAAGATGAAACAGATAATGTAATGAAACGAGTTCTCAGATTGTGTGTGGGCCTCATGCTTTTTAAACTTGGATGGGAATGATAATTTGTAAGTAATGGGGGCTTTATAAGGTTTTCGTGTATATTCGTCGCAGTTAGATACAGGCACACAGACACCAAACATCCAGGAAAGCGCTAGACGGCCGTTTCGTCCTATTGGGACTCGTCAGTAGCGCGCACCCGCCGAATCCTGCCAGATTCGAACCCACGACCTTACTCTTGCGAGTCAGCGACTTATGTCACTGAGCCATGGGCAACGGCAGCGGACCGTCATGGCTGATATCTAACTGCGATATAGCGCGGCTCATTCTCCACTGTCTTGCATGTTGGAAATGTGCAGAGGACAGTCATGGCGTTCCGCTCCCGTCGCCCATGGCTCAGTGACATAAGTCGCTGACTCGCAAGAGTAAGGTCGTGGGTTTGAATCCGGCAGGATTCGGCAGGTGCGCGCTACTGACGAGTCCCAATAGGACTTAAACGGTCGCCTAGCGCTTTCCTGGATGTGTGGTGTCTGTGTGTCTGTGTCTAACTGCGACGAACCTACACGAAAAATGGGAATGATAATTTGGGCAGACGGAATGCACAATGAAGAGAGGGGAGTTTTCTCACAATACGAGGATTTGGCAATTATCCCGCTGCCGTATTCGTGAAAATAATATCGTATTTATGTTCTTTTATTTCTCGCACTGAAAAAGTACCGCAGCAAATGCAGGAAATTAGGGCAGCGTTGACCATGTCACCAGCATGGGTGCTTAAGTACAGGCACATGGCGAATAGCTATAGTGTGGAGCGCATACCTGTGCGTAGCGAGTGCCACAAGGCAATGCCTATCATCCAACTGGTTAATGGCTTAGAGATGATATTCTACCAGTTAGAAAAGCAGTTGTCAACAAGTACCTAAGTCTAGTGCGTGTGTTTTCAACTTGCTCACATGCATTCACGACTAACGGACACCGAGTTAACTAGGGTCACACCTCGCGAAATATGCGCTCACCATTACGGCGTGACGTGAATACATGATTTTGCGTTGTCTTTACCGTGAACATGGATAACTCATGGTGAATAGTAAAAAAAGACAAATAAACTATCTTTATTTTTTATTCCTGGGTTGTCTGGAATGCCCGTTGTGTGAGCAGATTACGGTATGTGATTTGAATTTGGATGGTAATTTACTTTCAGGCGAATATGGGCCATTTCGATTATCGGAAGTGAATCTGAGGCAGCTAATGTGTATTCGTCGCTGGTTCCTAATCCTGTACTCCAAAGTAGCTTCTTCCTTAAGTGACTATTCAATCAGATATCATACACTGTATTCTACGACTTGGGTAACAGACAGACGGTTATAGTACTGAGGCTCCAGTTAATACGAAACATATATGCTTCAGCAACATAATAATATCCAGAAGGGCTGAGGTTTATATCACAATTAATCGCGGTGCATTACGAATAGTAGATTTCGAAATACATACAGCCAACCCTCCAAAGTAGACCATTTCTATACCTTGACCACATTTCTATTGACCGCTTTTTCATAGCCTAAATGTCACTACGAAAACCCTATGGAACCATTTCGCTGAA